ACATAAATTCATAAAACAGAAGTTCAATAAATTTTGAATGCAAGTCTACAGATGTGATGAGTGCCCTTTGACCCCTGACCATAGGAAAACGTATAGCAATAAGGTAAAAACAAACAAGATTATTGAATTAATATGTTAACCTTGCACTATAAAACAAATGACTGGCAATCAAATTAGTTTAAATTATTGCACTGACTTTTAAAAATTAAAAGCCTTAGTTAGGAGTAGTAGTTTGGCAAATAAGCAGAAATTAGAATTGGTTACTAATTTCTTATTTTAGGAGTTTTAAGGATGATACACTGTCCTGTAAAGTTAGTATTTTTACTTCATAAAAATACTTATTTAAATTGCATGCCAGATCCTGTCATTACTTGTAGCCAATTAATTATCTGTATTGGGAACTGTTTTCCTTCTTCTCTGCCAATGCTTTTTTGTTTTACCTGTACAGAACTTGCTAATTCTGGTTGATATCTCATTCTCATATTGGAACTTCTGTGTTGAGTACTGTTTCGCATTGTCTCTAACAATGCTTCTTTTACCTGTACAGGGGGAGGTGGGGTCAATTCCACTTTTCATTTGTAAGAATTAGCCCATGAATTGGTGGCAGGAGGTCTTGTTGTTAGCTGCTTTCCCTCTGTATTAAATACTTCTAGTATGGCTAGCACAGATAGCCCTTCAGTAGGTTTGTGTAAAATTCAGTAAACATATAAATTGACTTACCATGATGGATAGAGCTCAGACAGCCCATGATTTACCATGATGGATAGAGCTCAGACAGCCCATGATGGATAGAGTTCAGACATCCCATGATTTACCATGATGGATAGAGTTCAGACAGCCATTATTTACCATGATGGATAGAGCTCAGACAGCCCATGATTTACCATGATGGATAGAGTTCAGACAGCCCATGATTTACTATGATGGATAGAGCTCAGACAGCCCATGATTTACCATGATGGATAGAGTTCAGACAGCCCATGATTTACCATGACGGATAGAGTTCAGACAGCCCGTGATTTACCATGACGGATAGAGTTCAGACAGCCCGTGATTTACCATGACGGATAGAGTTCAGACAGCCCGTGATTTACCATGATGGATAGAGTTCAGACAG